GTACTCAGCATGCAGTACGCATGTGGTAAGTTTCAGTTGTTCTTATCCTCACAATGATTTTATGGGGCAAGCTTCTTTACTTTCCCTATTATACAGGTAAGGAGACAGAGAGGCAGAGATGTACAGTAAATTGCCTGAGGTCACACAGCAAATAAGCAGGGGAACCAGATCAGAGCCCATTTGTTTGTTAGACTCCAAAGCCTCACACCAGTGCAAAGAGAGGCAGGTCCGAGGACTTTCGTCGCTGTGTTGTTTTCAGTAGCTTAAAATCAGACACAGTGCAGATGTCCACCAACAGCAGCTCTTCTGTAAACCCTGGCATGCCCAGCCAGGAAGTCTTTGTACTGGGTATGAGAAATGAGGTCACCCTATACACAGGGACATGGGACCATCTTCAAGATTCTGTTCAGTAAAAAGAACACCTGAAAAAAAAGTTCCGTAACCCACAGGAAACAAAACCAAATATTCCATAAAATCTAAGTGTGTGTGTGTGTGTGTGTGTGTGTGTGACCTATAGAAGCTCATATGAAGCAGATGAAGGTGATTTAAGCAATAGGCTCTATTGATAGGAACTTCCCTTTCTTTAGACTTGTATTTTTATTGAGTTTTGAGATAACACATACTCAAAAAAATTCAGAGTACAGCAAAGTGTCAAGAAGAAAAAAAAATCACCAGAAATCCCTTTCTCCAGAATTAACTAGGCTAACATGTTGGTGTATGTCCTTCCAGTCCTCTGTGTGACCGTGTGTGTGTGAGTGTGTGTAGGCATATACATACATATAGAAACATATCCATATGAATATGAGAATTCTGCTGCTCCAACAAAGTGTCCCCCACATTGTAGAAGCTTAAACAACATAGAAGTTTATTTCTCTGCCACATTAAATCTGGGTTCCAGGTAGAATAGTGGCTCCGTAATCATCAGGATTGCAGCCTCCTTCTATATTCTTGCTGTATTATCTCATCCTGTGGCTTCCTCCTCATGGTCTAAGATGACTGCTCCAGATCCAGCCATCACATCTGCCTTACTAGCAGCAGGAAGGGGAAATGGGAAATGGAGGTCCTCCCTCTTCCTTTTAAGTACACAACCAGAAGCTGTGCACATTATTGTTGGTAACATCCCATTTGTCTGAATGCAGTCACGTGGCCATCCCTCGCTACAGGGAAGCCTGGGAACTGGGGTCTTTACTCTGGGCTGCCACGCACCCAGCTGAAAGTCAGGGGTTCTAGGACTATGAAAGAAATGGGAGAATGGACACCATAGAATTCATTCTTTTTTAATTTTTATGTTATGTTAATCACCATACATTACATCATTAGTTTTTGGTGTAGTGTTCCATGATTCATTGTTTGCGTATAACACCCCATGCTCCATGCAGAACGTGCCCTCTTTAATACCCATCAGCAGGCATAGAATTCATTCTGTTAATAATAATAGCTTCCTCCATCAAGACAGTTCTGTATCTTACATTCTAACCATTGAACCCTGGGACGCTGGGACCCTGGGACCCAGAGGACGCTGGCTTGGGCCAAACTGCTAGTTGTAACAGAGCAGACTGTCTTTCTTAAGGCATAGCCAGGAGATAGCTGCCTCTGCACATAGGGAATTTTCAACTGAAAGCCATTTCCAGATGAAAGGCAGAGTCCTGGCAACATCAACATTTACCATGGCATTTCCTCCAGACTTTTCCTCATTGCCATCATGAAGAGAATCAGGAAAGGCCATTCCGTTGCAAAATCAGAGTTGTAAGATGATGATGTGTGTCCCAGACCCTCTCTGGCAAGTTTCGGCCCCTTTGCTGATCATTCTTAAAATGATACCATTAGTCTGCGCATGTGTGAATCCCATCCTGCCTACAAAAGCACTCATTTTTTGTTCCTTCTTTTCACTTCCAGAGGAGGAGGAGTTTGAGCACATGTGTGTATGTGTGTGTGTGTGTGTGTGTGTGTGTGTAGTGAGAACATTTAAGATCTACTCTCTTAGCCACTTTCAAGTATACAATACAGTATTGTTAACTATGGTCACCCCACTGTACATTGCATCCCAGAATGCATTCCTCTTATAACTGTAAGTTTGTATCCTTTGACCAACATCTCCTCATTCCCCCTGCCCCCACCAGCCCCCAGCAACCACCCATCTACTCGCAGTTTCTGGGAGTTCCATTTTTTTTAGATCCCACATGTGAGATGGAACAGTAGTTGTCTTTTTCTGTCTAATTTCATTTAGCAGAATGTCCTCAAGGCCCATCCACGTTGGCACAAATGGCAACATTTCCTTTTTTTTTTTAAAGGCTGAATAATATTCATGTGTACATAATACATTTTCTTTATCCATTCGTCTGTGGATGGACAGTGGGATTGTTTCTATGTCTTGGCTACTGTGAATGCTGCTGCCATGAACACGGAGTGCAGAGATCTCTTTGGTAGAGGTATTTTATTTCCTTAAGATATATACCCAGAAGTGGGATGGCTGGATCCTATGGTAGTTCTATTTTTAACTTTTTGGGGGAACCTCCATACTGTTTCCCAGAGTGGCTGCACTAGTCTGCATTCCCACCAACAGGGCACGAGGGTTCCTTTTTCTCCACATCCTCGCCAAGACTTGTCATCTCTTGTCTTTTTGATATGAGCCATTCTAACAGTTGCGGGGTGCTATCTCATTGCGGTTTTGATTTGCAGTTCCCTGATGATGAGTGATGTTGAACTTTTCTTCATGAACCTGTCAGCCATAAATATGTCTTCTTTGGAAAAATGTCTGTTTGGGTCTTTTGCCCATTTTTAATGGGATTTTTTTTTTTTTTATATTGAGTTGCATGATGCTGCCTCTTTCTTCCTACCTTTTGCTGAATCTCTTCCCATTCTCTGCTTTTAAGGTCTTGTGTCATTAGATTGGGCTTACCCAGGTAATCCAAAATAATCTGTTTTAAGGTCTGTAACCTCGACTCCATCACCAAAGTCCCTTTTGCCATGCAATGTAACATATATACAGGCTTCAGGAATTGAAGTGTGTGCATCTTTGGAGGTGCCATTCCGCTCACCCCTAAACTATATTTGCTGAGCCCTTCTTAGGGAGAGGCACTCTCTGTGCTGGGGTCTGGGAGGCTCTGGGTAAGTGTCTCTCAGAGTACACTACTCCAGAAAAATGGTAGGAGGGAATGTCTTCCGGGGACCCCCCACTTCGGTAGTTTGGGTGGCCAACTTCAAACCATAGCAGCCCCTCTTGCTCTGGTTCTCTGGGCAGAGCTAGAACCCCACTCCTCCCCATATTCATACCCCTTCAGCTCCCATCCACTACCCTGGGGTGGAAGGAGGGTCACTCTGTCCTTTTTCTATACAGACCCTATGCTCAGTCATCCATGGCCAGAAAAAATTCTAAGGAGGCCAACAGAAAGGACACATTGTGTATTTCAGTCTGTGTGTTATGCTGGCTTTTTTTTTTTTTTTTTTTTTTTTTGCCCAGGGTGCCTGTAGTCATTTCTGAACCTGTTCGCACCTGCTATGGTCCTTGCAATGTCACTACCCCCTCCCCCCCAAACCCCACACAGGCCAACACAACCCTCCACCCCTTCATAACCTTGGCCTCTAAGGTCCGTCCCTCTGCAAGCTGCTTGCTGCCCCTCACCCCACGGCTGTTGCAGGTCAGTTTCTGCCGCGGGAGCACACCCTCCTCTGGCTTTCCCCCTTCCCTCCCACCACGGGGAGATACCAGCTCAGGCACATCCTAGGGGAACCCGCCCACCCGCTGCCAACCCCAGGCTCAATCCGGAGTCCTGAGCTCATTCTTCAGGGAACTTATTTGGTTGGAGGGCAGAGACAGCAGGTGACTCGGTCACCCTAGCAACCGGGTTTAACTCCGGGAGGTAAGGGCAGGAGGGCCGTCCAGGGTCTTTAGTAGATATTTTCAGAAAGTAGAAGCTTTTAATGACATTTATGGAGCACTTGCTGTTTGCGGGTGTGGCGCTAAGCTCGCTGCGCTTATTAATAAGGTCGTGCAACCCTCACAGCAACCCTGGTTGGGAGATGCTCTTATTGTCCCCATTGTACGGAGGAGACTGTGGAGAGCGGACTCATGCGCCTTCGCTTAAAGGCTGTCAATGTCATAAAGACCTCCAAGGACGGCGGGTGAAAGCAGAACCACAGAGAGGTCCAAACACAAATAAAAATGGGCAAAAGAGGGCGCCTGGGTGGGGCTCAGTTGGTTAAGCACCTGCCTTCAGCTTAGGTCATTCTCACGGGGTTCTGGGAAGGAGCCCCACATCAGACTCCCTGCTCAGTGGGGAGTCTGCTTCTTCCTCTCCCTCTGCTCCTCCACTCTTGCTGGGGTCTCTCTCTCTCTCACTTTCTCTCCCAAATAAATAAAATTTTTTTAAAAAATGGGCAAAAGCTGAGCTGAAGGCAGTCGCTTAACCAACTGAGCCACCCAGGCGCCCCCTTCTCTCCATTTTAATTGTTGAGCAAAAGTGCAAGGTACACGGTAGTTTGGTACTTTTTCTGTAAAAAGAGTCTGTATTTGTACTTGCATAATCTCTGCAAGAGTGAACAAGAAACTAGTAAAAGTGCTTGTGTGTGTGCACGTGCCCATGAGTGTGTGTGTGTCTTTGTGTGTGTTGAGAAGAACTGGGCAGATGGGGGACAGGAGAGAAGGAATTTTTTTGCTGAACATAATTTTATATTTTCTGATTTTTGGAACATGTGACTACATTATCTATTCACAATAAATTAAAAGGAGGGCTGGTGGCAAGCAAACAAACCACTAAAGAAAAGAAGTCCCCAGGACCAGACATTCTCTAAGCACTTGATTCTATTAATTTCTGAGCTTAGCCTTGACCTTAGAACTAACTGAAAACCGATGATCTTGATTTTGGGGTTCATGTTAGACTTTTTCTTGGGAGGGCTGATTTTAGTGTAAAAGCAGGGAAATGTCTATCTAAAAAAAAAAAAAAAGAAAGAAAAAAGAGAACAAAATAACAGTCATGTAGCGAATGCACTCCTTCAAAAAAAAAAAAAAAGAAAGAAAAAAGAGAACAAAATAACAGTCATGTAGCGAATGCACTCCTTCCCAGACTTCCCAGGGTTCTCAGGGTCCAATCCTGGCCTTGGTGAGTGGGGGAAGGGGATGGGACTCACTTCCAGAGTTTTGGTGTAGCCCCTCCCCCCATCATCTCTCTGCCTCCCAGGAGGTCACTCACTTTCCAAGCAGCAGGACCTTGTGGGTCAGGAGGGGTGACAGGAAGGGGTGTGTGGGGTACAACGTCCATCCATATTGGGAACTGGGGAGTCGGGATGCCCAGGGTCCCACCGTTTGCCATTTTTTAGAAGCTTCTCTGCGAGGAGAGTGGGAAAAAGGAAATGGGGCAGGGGTCATCTCTCAACCACCCTGGCCACTTCTACGTTGTGTAGATTGTCCCTTGTTATTTCTGTGGGGCAGCACATCAGGAAATGGCCCAAGAGGGCTTGCTACATGCTGGGCGCTTCTCCCTTTTATCCCCGTGCTAAGCCTCTGAGGTAGGTGCTATTTATCATAATCCCCATTTTAGGAAACCGAGGCACAGAGAAATAAGTGACTTCCCCGAGGTCCCACAGCCTGTGAGGGCTAGCTCACCCTCTCAGCGGTCGCGCTTCTGACACCCTTGACACCCTTGAGCCTGCCTCCAGCTGGGTGCTGCAAACCTGCTCTCTCTCAACAGTCCGAAGGAGTTCGGCAATGGAGTTGCGGGCACTGTGGCCCAGAGTGGGGGAGGGCTGTGCTTTGCACTTCCAGGTCCCGTGGGGGGCCTTGTGGCGTTCTCCACCCTTCCTGAGGGGAGCTGGTGGCGATGCTTAAGTACTCAGCCTGGGCCTCCCAGCTCCCTGCCCTTGGGACCTTGGGCATGTGCCCTGCTCAACTTCCCAGGTGTTAGTAACGGGGGGGGGGGGGGGGGGGCTCAGGGCGCTGTCCTGGACTGCGCCAGGTGTCCTAGGCGGAGCACTGCAGGTTGCAGAAGTCGGCCGATGAGAAGAGCCGCAGCACGTTGACCAGCGGGAACATGAGCAGAGCTCCGAGCAGGGAGCCCAGCTGCACCGCCGCTCCGCACCACAGGAGGGCGCCGCGGCTGTGGTCGCGCAGGATCACGCCCAGCATCACCTTGACGTAGCTCAGACAGCCGATGAACAGCACCCACGAGGCCACCTGCGGATAACGGGTGGCAGAGATGCAGAGTGAAGGGGACTTTGGGGTGAGCCCCAGGGGAGAAGGATGCTTGTAGGGTGACCTAACTGGGCTAAGGGAACCCCATGGAATAACCTTTAAATTCAAAAGTCTTTGGGGGTGACTCCCTAGGGCTAAGAGGGCCCCATGAGTTGACACCCCGGCCCAGGGCAAAGGAGAACCCAGTAGCCTTGGTGCCCCCCCGTGATCAAGTCAAGGGCATCTGGGAGAAAGCCAGGGCTGAGGTACACATGGCAGGGAGAGTGTGGCATTCAGCGGAGAGGCTGGAATGTCACCTTGGACCAGCCACCTTACCTTCCTAAGCCTCCATTCCCAAAGGAGAAGCATCCCTCCCCCTGCCCAACCCCACCCGGGGCTTCCTTGGGGCACAAACACAAAGACTTTGGCCAACAGAAAGCGCCTTGGCTAGGCGAGGGGGAGGGAGGGAGGCGGCTGCATAGGCCAGATACTTACAATGAGGATTTCTCCAGCCCAGTGGCCCTGCATGAGGGGGCAAGGGCTCATCACGGCCATGGCCATGTTGTAGGCCCCGAAGCCAGTCCCGAGCACCGTGAGGACCCCCAGAATTGGCAGAGACCTAGGGCAGAGTAGAGGAGGAGAATGGAGGAGGTGAGCAGCCTGACTTCTGCCTCCCCTACCCTGGGGCGCCGCGTAGAATGGTCAGTGTCTCTAGGGTTAGAGGTCAGATCCACATGGAAACTTCCAGGCCACCTGGCTCAAGCAGGTCAGTGAGCTTCCTGAGGGGCAAAACTGGTCTAAGTCACCCTGAGCATTCATGGCAGGAGAAACAGAATGGACTCTGGTGCTACGGGGACCTGGTTCAGGTTCCCCTTCCCCCTGAAGCTGCGAGACTGGCCCCTGAGCCTGCTTCCTCACCAGCGCGAGGAGCCGGGCAGGGCCGCCGGAACCTGTGGAACGGAATGCGCAGGGCCTGGCCCGGGGCCCCACCCGGTGTTCTGCCAGCTCCCATTTCCTCCTGCAACATGCCCAACCTCAGCCAGGAAGCCGGGGGGGACAAGGATGTGGCTTGCAGCCTTGCACTGCAGGCGGTGCTGTGAGCCTCAGCTGACCCCTTCCCCTCCGGTGTCATCTACAGCATGAGGTCTACGTGATCTAGGGGCCCTGATGGCTGGCTGGGATCCCACGTCGGCTCTAGTATGACAACGGAGGACACTGTCCTTCATTAGAGGTCATCCCCCTGGGGCCTCCCTGTGCACGCTCTTCAGAACACCAAGACTACCTGGGGTCCTGCGTGGGAGTGGAGGGCCTGGCCCTGCCTCTAAGGACTCTTTCTGCTCCGAGATTCTTGGAGCCCCTGTCTTTCAGACTGGGTATTTCTAACATTCTGGGCGCTCCCTATTCCACACATCTGTGGACTGTGCTTCTGCTTCCCCAGAAATCTCCAGCCTCCTTCCACAGTTTCAGTCCCGAAGGGAGAAAATTCAGCTTTCTGGCAATGTGACATTTTCTGTCTGACTCTCCTCTTCTCGTTCTCCCTCCTTCCTGAGCTGGGGAAGGGGGCGTGAGCAGGTCAGAGAGGCCCGTGAGGGCAGGCAGGGCAGAGAGCTGGCTGGGAGGTTGTGGGCCCTCAAGTTTCACGACCCCAAAGTCCGTGTGTCCCTTCCCAGGGTCTGAACCCCTGCAGCGGAACCACTTAGGTTGTGTACTAAAATTTGAAATCTCAGGTCCCAATGTAGGCTGGCTCAGTCTGCATTTTGCCAATTTGCTTAGCCACTCTTCCAGATCTGCCGCTGTAAAGGAGCCAGAGTGAGCCGGAGGCGGGAGGACAGGGCTGAAGTCCAGGGAAATAGACCATGGGATTAGACCCTTTCTGTGAGCCTCAGGGTTCCCACTTGTAAATGGGAACCTCAGCTCCTGCCTGCGCATTCCTCCTCAAGGCCCAGTGGCTGGTCAACACCTACACTGGACCTGCCCTGCAGAAGTACTGCTCTAAAAATCTTTACCAAATTAGCTCATTTTATGCTCCCAGCAATCCTAGGAGGGAGAACTACTATTATCCCCATTTTCCAGATAAGTATCCTTGAGGCACAGAGAGGTGAAGTGATTTGTCCGGGACCTCATTGCTAGGAAGTGGCCGAGTTGGGATTTGAACCCAGGCAGTCAAGCCCTAGAAGCCATGTTCTATACGCAGAACCTGACAGTTGGGGTTTGGAATTCTGATTCTGGAATGAAATGCATCCAACAAGAGTTCCCCAGGGCCAGCTGGGGCAGACCTGTGCGGCAGAAACATGGAGAGGAAGCAGGCGAGAGGGTTGGCCATGGAGCTGAGGGTGGCGGACAGGTGGTAAGCAACAGGCCCGTAGGAGAGGCAGGAGTAGGTCTGCACGGAGGGCAGCACGCCGTTGGTGAGCGCGTTCACGAAGGCCACCAGGACGTAGATGAAGGCCAGGTGGGCTGGGCGGTCGTCGGAGGCCGTTTTCTCCTCTGGATGCCCCTGGGCCTTGCCGCTAGCCCCTGGGTCTGGGGGGCCCAGGTCCTCCCCTTCCCGTGGCCGGATGGAGTGGAGGGTGACCTGGGAGGTGAGGAGGTCTTCTATGGAAGATTCCCTGGGTCTGGGCTGACGCTGGAGGAGAAAGAAAGCAACCAGGCAGCAGGCCATCATGAAGGAGAGCAGGAGGAAGAAGACCAAGGGCGAGAAGTTGGCCGGGAGGTAGCGGCTTTCCAGATGGACGGCGGAACGTGTCGTCCCAGGCAGGTCAGACACCAAAGTGCTGTTAGCTCCCTGGGGAAAGACAAAACCAGGGTCAGGCAGATCCCCGGGGGATGTCGGGGCACGGGTAACAGCAATATTAATAATCATATCCAATAAATAGCAGGCATTGCTAGTAAGTAAGGGCCGAATAACACACACAGAACTCCTCAGGCAGTGATCAGAAATGCCCAGCGCTCGGACGGCACTTTGCCTGGGTCAGCCCGTGCGTGCCTCCTCGCGGCCCCAGGCAGTGGGCACCATCAGCCCCAGTTCTGGAGGGCTCGGGGGTGTCAGAACGCTTCGTCTTCCCTGAGGCTCACGGGGGCTATGTGGCTTCTTTCAGACTTAGAAGCTACGCCTTTTCTCACGCTGCCGCCTGCCAGGGCCGGAGACCGCAGCCCCTCCCGAGGTTGCCCGGTGGGGCCTGGTGTGGCCAGATCCCTTCTTAGCAGATGCCGGGCCTCTAGACCTATGCGTGTGAAATTTCAAAATATTTACATGTCTTCAACTAATTCAAACACTTAAAAGTGGAGTGCTCTCGGGATATGGTGGCCCTGGGGCCCCTGGGTTTGCACCCATGGCTGGACCTCTGTGGTTTGGGCGATGCCAGGCCTTATGTGAAGTGTCCAACTTGACAAGTGTCCACACAGTGGAGAAAAGTTGGACGTTTTAACAACACGAAGCATTGAAGCAATGTTAAAGTCTACCGTTCCGGGTGCGGGGGTGGCTCAGACGGTTGAGCGTCTGCCTTTGGCTCAGGGTCCTGGGATCGAGCCCCGCGTCTCTCCCTCTCCCTCTGCTGCTCCCCCTGCTTGTGCTCTCTCTCTCACGCACGCACGATCTCTCTCTCAACTAAATAAATAAAATCTTAAAAAACATAAAGTCCACAGTTCTTAGCCCTGGCTGTACCTCAGCATCACCTGAGGACTTTTGAATAAATACAAGTTCACCATCCCTGTTTTGCAATTTGGAAATGCAAAAAGCTCTGAAAGTTCGGATTTTTTTCATGCCTCAGCTGGCAGCCACACTTGAACGGAGGTAGTCTATTTACAGCCTGACGTGCCCACTGGGCAGGAATGGCCCCCGGGCTGTAGGCAGTGACGTCACTGTGCTGGACTGCTGGGTCACAAGTGCTCTTGCAGACCAGGACAGGTGTGTTCTAAAGTCCGAAACTCCAGATTCCAAAACACTTTGGACCTCAAGGGTCTCTGAGAAGCCCCACGCCCCAGAGAGTTTCTTTCACTGGCTGGATGGGGTGGGGCCCACCGCTGTGTTTCAGTAGCCCCCCCGGGTAGGTGATCTGATGTGCAGCCAGGTCGAGAACACTGGTCTACCCAACATCTAGGAAACACAAGCCCTCCGCATGGTCTTCCTTGTGACCGAGCACAGAGCACGGTAATGGGTCATGTCCGGTACCTGCAGGAAGACAGTCTTCCCGGTGGTCTCAGTGCTTGGGGTGGTGTCTGATGGCCGAGTGACGTTGACACAGGTGGTGAGACCCGAGCCCTGGGCAAGAGCCACCAGGGCAGGCAGGAGGCCGCTGAGTCCTTCACCCGCAAAGAAGGTGGTGAGGTAGCGGGTGGGCAGCCGGCTCATGAAAGGCAGGAAGGTGACCGAAGAGGTGCAGTCCACCAGGGCCAGGAAGAAGGTGAGGACCATGAAGGCAACACTGTGGTGGCCGTCCAGCACCCAGGAGGTGACATTCCAGAGGAAGGCGAAGAGGGTGCACGCCAGGGTGCCCACAGCCAGCACGGTGAAGATGATGGGCACTTCGGAAAGGCAGCTGGGCTGGAAGTGATGGAGCAGGGTGACCAGGAGGGGGCCGATGTTGGCCAGCTGGATGACCACCGTGAGGTAGGAGGGAAGGTACCACCCCTCGGGCAGCTCTGTCACCAGCAGGGGCAGCTCTACCCACAGCCCGTTGATGGCTACCCAGGAGCCCATCCCGAAGGTGCAGACCAGCAGGTGTACCAGGAGGGCCATGATGATGTCTGCCCTGCGCCGAAGCCGCCTCCTCCCAGATCAGCCTGCAGTGGGAACCGTGGACAAAAATGCCGGGTGAGCAATAGCAGGGTCACCGTCTGTCAAAACAGTATGCCGTCTTCCCTGATCTTTCCCCTTCTCGTGAACAAGTTGGCTTTTTATGATAGGAAAACACAGACAAATTCTTTTATAACTAACCTTTCCAGAGGGGCAAGCTTCTCTAACTGTGGCTCATAATTCCAGAGACCATCAAAGAAAAGTTGGACACATATAACGGCATAAATATTAAAACAAAAGTAATCCGACAACAAAACACCTTCTTCAAAAAAAAAAAAAAGAGAAAAGGTCAGAAATACCAACAGTAAGATCAAAAGATGACCACCTGGGGGAAATATTTGCAATGTAAATCACAGACAAAGGGATCATCTCCCTCTTATGTAAAGAGTTTGTAGAAATTAAGAACAAAAAGACTGAGGGCGCCTGGGTGGCTCAGTTGGTTAAGCGACTGCCTTCGGCTCAGGTCATGATCCTGGAGTCCCGGGATCGAGTCCCGCATTGGGCTCCCTGCTCAGCGAGAAGCCTGCTTCTCCCTCTGACCCTCCTCCCTCTCATGCTCTCTGTATCTCATTCTCTCTGTCTCAAATAAATAAAATCTTTAAAAAAAAAGAACAAAAAGACTGAATAGAAGAATGGGCAAAGGATGTGAACAGTTCAGAGGATAAGGTACAAATAAACCTTAAACATACAAAAAGATCTGGGCTTGCACCCAGCTCTGCCCCTGGCTAGCAGGGTGACCTCGGGCAAGTGACATTGCCTCTCTGTGCCTCCTATTCCTCATCTGTAAAGAGAGGACAGTCTTGACTTTATGGACTGTAATGATATGCAAATATGTTAATGTTAATAAGCTAATGTTTTTTAAACAGGGTCTGGAGTACAGTAAGCACTTACTGAGGGCTAGCTATCACCCTCATGGTGAAATGCCGGGTTTGGTGACATGGTTGTTTTTGTCCAATTCACATGAAAATTAATACATGACTAAAATTAATGCAATTTTTTTAAAAAGGAAAAAAAAAGTTTCCCATGAGGCACCATTTTGGAGAGAAATGTTGATGGGGCCAAGCCCTTCCTTTTAGAGATGGGAAACAGGGTGGGGTCTGGGGAGGTAGGATTTGGAACCAGTCCCTTGCAGCTTTTGGCCTCCTGACCACCCCCTGCCCCCAGGTCTAACCTCGTTCTCTTCTGGAAGCTGCCAAAGCATCCCTGTGGCTAGGCCTCACCTGGGAAAGTCCCAACCTCAGCGGCTCCTTTCCGGGTTCCACACACAGAACTGACTCTCAGCCGCAGATGAACTCCTTTCTTCCATCCTCCACTGAGCAGAGTGCAGTCTGACCTGCTTTCCGTCCTGCTCCACCACAGTCTGTCTAGAGGACTCAGGCAGGTGGCTTAAGCTCTGTCTCTCACCTCTGAGGCCGGCCTGACTAACAGCCCGGGACAGGCCTGGCTCTGGGCCCCCCACCGAGAGCACCCAGGGAGGGAAGCTCCAGGCAGCTGTTGCATGCGGAGAACCCTTGCCCGCCCCCGCCCCGTTCAGTCGTGCGCAGCTTCTTGGCTGCTCACTCCCACCTGAGACCAGACTGTGACATAGAACAGGCAGAATCCCACTAAAAAAGAGCTGCCCTGCCCCAACGCAGGCAGAGTTCTGCCTCTGATGGGTGAAATGACAGGGAAGGACAAAAAGGTAGAGGTTGAATGATATTCCAAGGCAGAGGCTGCTAGCTGCTTCCCATTACCTACTCTTCCCTTTTTCCTTAGTTGTCACGGAGACCAGATTTTTGGTTGGGCAAATGGCCACCGAGCTAAAGGAGTACCTTTCCCAGCCTCCCTTGCAGTGGTACACAGCCAGCCGATTGAGGCCAGGCCAGTGAGGTTGTGAGGAACTTCGAAAAGTCTCCTTAAAGATGAGGGAGCGTACCTTTCTGTCCTTCCTCTGTCCTGCTTTCTGGAACTCAGATGTGATGGCCAGAACCCCAGTGGTCGTTTTGTGCTAAGAAGGATGGTGTGGGGGCTAGAGGGAGATTAGACCTTAAGGCTTTGCGGCACGGAGTTGCCATACTGGTTCTGTTCTGCCTGCCGCTGAACTCTTTTGTTTGTTCAATGTTGTTTGCATTGTAAATAAGCTGTTCTCTTGTTTAAGCTACTGATTTTATATACAGCAAAACAGTGGCCAAGTGTACAGAGATAGATGTTCAAGGATATAGAGAGACTGATTACAGTAGCAGAAAACCCATGAGGACATTTATCTCCTTTACTCTGGATGTCCCAACTCAGAAACTCAGGTCCTGTCCCAACCGGGATTTGATCAAAAACCAAAATCAAATAGGATTAGTTGTTGAAATACACCTTAAAGAGACATAGAAAGATTAAGAGTAAACCTGGGGGCAAAGGTCTTCCAGGGAAATGCAAAGAGATGGAGGGAGAGAGAAAGAGAGAGGGAGGGAGGGAGAAAAAGGGAAAGAGAGAGAGGGAGGGAGGGAGGGAAGAGAGGGAGAGAAACAAAGAGCTCTCGATATGGGATTTGATGCCAAAAGTATAAATTAAGACCCCGAGTCATTTCATATTGATAGATAGTCCTTAGTGGAGTCAAAGCAGTAGTGGATATATGGAGTCTGAGTAACATTCCCCCACAGCCCCAGACATGCCTGGAGAGAGAGATGGCAGCACAGTCTGGGCGGGGTGGTGACTCACTGCTCTAGACCTTGGTGGCAGAGGGCAGCGTAAAATAAACAAGGATACAGAGGAGGTGATCACTGATACTTCTAATAAACAGGAATAAGTAAATAACTAAAGGGAGGAGGTGGATTTGCTAAAGATGGTTACTTTTATCATCTGAAAAGCTATTAAAATAATGAGAGTTCAGCCAGATGTCCAGTTATACATTTATAAACATTTATAAATATGTAGTTTTCCTGCATAGAACCAGTCAGAAAATAAGACTTGCCAGGATAGTCATTTGGGAAAAAAGAAATAAAGCTGGATCTCTTCCTTACTTCTTATCCCTCACACCTGAAAAAAAGAATTCCAGCTGGATCAAATGTTTAAATATATTTTTTTAATTAAAAAAAGAATAAAAATGTCCAAAGAACATAGAGGCAGAGGGAACTGCCTGTGCAAATGTCCTGAGGCAGGAATGAGCCGGGGGCAGAGTTGCTGGAGCAGTGGGCTTGAGGAGATGAGGGCAGGTGGGCAGGTAAGGAGCCTGAGTCTCCTTTATGTGCAACAGGTTCTATGCACCGCAAGACTAAATCCCCACACCCCACAGAGCAGAGTTGTCTGGGTTCTAATGCAGGCACCACATGGCTGTGTAAGTTGAGGGAAGTGATTTGGCTCTGCAAGTCTCTTCCGTTGGCTGGGAAACAGTCATGGTGGTGGTACGGCCCAGCATGACCCATCTCCTGTGTGGCTCTCCTGCCTGGGCCTGCTTCCAGGCAGCCACACCAGGCGCCCCATGCTCCTGGACCTGGGAGACACAATGAGCCATTGATGGGGGACGTAGCCATCAGTGACGATGGCGGGGGGCGGGGGGCGGGGGGATGTCCTCGGCAGAGAGAACTGCATGTGCAGAGGCCTGGTGGTTCAGAGCAGTATGGGAGTGGCTCACGATGAGTATGTTGGGAGTATTTTTAAAAAGTACATAGCTCTTGGGCGCCTGGGTGGCTCAGTTGGTTAAGCGACTGCCTTCGGCTCAGGTCATGATCCTGGAGTCCCTGGATCGAGTCCCGCATTGGGCTCCCTGCTCTGCAGGGAGTCTGCTTCTCCCTCTGACCCTCCCCCCTCTCATGTGCTCTCTCTCAAATAAATAAATAAAATCTTTAAAAAAAAAAAAAGTACATAGCTCTTTTCTCTTTTCCCTCTAGTGACCTTGCAGTTCTTATTCATTCATTCGACCAGTACTTGCTGGCCACTTGCTGTGTGCTGGACAGTAATTTCTGGAAAGTGTGAGGAGAAGTCACTGAGTGAAATAAAAACCAGCAATCGAGAGCAAGTCAGCAGTGATAAGGGCTGTGGGAGGGAAGCAAAGCTGGGAGGAGCGGGCAATTGTAAATGGGGTTGTCAGAGGGAATGTGAAGGAAGTGTGGGAGTGAGCCAGGCCCGGGGAGAGTGGTGCAGGGGCAGGGAACAGCAAGTGCAAAGGCCCTGGGGTGGCTGCAGCAGTGCGAGCGGGCGGGGGGGGATGGGGGGTGCACAGGTCACGTAGGGTCCTGTAGGCAAGAGTTCGGGTGTTTTCTCTGAGCCCAGATCTCCATTCCTGGGCAGAGGGAGGACCGGCTCTAATTGAGTTTTAGGAGAAGCACACCGGCTATTGTGAGGAGAGGCATGTGGGGCCAGGGGAGAAGTAGGAGTGAAGCCTGTTTATCCGTTAGTGAGCTGGTGTGGTATTCCAGGCACAAGAGATCGTAATGCTAATGATAATAGGAACTCTAACAGTAGCCACCATTTACTGGCCAAGCACTTTACACACATTATCCATTAGATCCTCCCAACAATCCCCAGGTAGGCAGTATGACAATCTCCATTTTATAAATGAGTTAATGCGGCTCAGGAAAGTAATTTGTCCCACGTCACCCAGCCTGTCACCTGGGAGCTGGGATTAGAACCTAGGCCGGGCCGACTGTGGACCCAGCCTGAGCAGAGCCCAGGAGGGAGGGCGTTACGAAGAGGCGGCAGGGGCCGGGCTGAGCTGGACCCCTTTCCACTCACCCCCGGGCCTCCCCACCGCATGGGCTGGGAAGGGGAGAAATGAGCCTCCAAGACATATCTGCTTCCTGGGCCCCACCAGCGATGCTGGGAGACCAGAAACCCAAGTAAGGCTCTGGAGGAGACACTTAAGACTTCATCTGCTCCATGGGAGATGTGCACCCTGGTGCGGAGCCAGGACAGCCCCTGGCAAAGGGGTCTCTTTCCTTCAAATTCTTGTATCTAAAGCCGAGAGTCCCGGGCCCAAGGGAGTGGGGGTGGGGGGCCGGTGTGCCCTCAGTGCGTGGCTGGGCCACCTCCTGCCCCAGCCGGCAGGAAGGGCCCCGTCCTACCTTGACCATCGGAGCCTGGGCAGCCTCCAGTCCCGGCGCTCCCGAGCTCTCCGCTTTGCTCCCTCACCGCGTTATCAGGCATCGACTCACCTGTGGAGCTTTATCTGTGTCTTATCATTTGAGTGCTGACCGCTCCCACCAGAGTAACATCTCCCTGTGAGCAGGGCCCTGTCTCTCCTCCAGGGTGCAGGTGGCCACCTGGTTTGCGAAGGGCTGGGCCATCGACCCAGCCTGCCTCAGCCTTGTGGGTTGAGTTGGCCAGGGTGGCCCGGGCAGTGCCAGCCGGCAGTGTGGGCCCTGTCTACACCCGCTCCTGGACAAGGGTCCCAGTCAGTGTTGTCCCAGAGTCCTTGGTGAATCCTGCAGGCCCCTGCCTGCGGCCTGGGATGTGGAACCTGGCCCGTCCTCATGAGAGTGGTGGGGAGGTTGTCAGGTGGAGGCAGGGTGGCTTTGAGTAGACAGAGCAGGGAGAGAGCGAGAGCCAAAGCTAGAAGCCAAAATGGGCAGGGAGAGGGACAGAGGGACAGAGGCAGGGCAGGGGGAAGAGGTGGGGCAGAGAGGGCAGGGGGTGGGAGAGAAGGAGACAGAGGTACAGGAGTGGCTTGTGTGTGCTGGAACCCCGGCCCGCCTCGGCCACCACCCTCACCTAACCGCTCACATCCTTGTGGATCAAGAGGCCTTCTCTTGCCTCTCCTCACCTCAGAGGTCCCAGGCCTCCTCCTACTCAATGTTCCCATCTCACAAATGTGGGGAAACTGAGACCCAGAGAGGAGGCAGTGTTTGCCCACACCGTGTCCCTCCCCCCAATCCCCCCATCTCAGGTTGCGGTGGTCATCCAGGCCTGCACTCACTGGCTGTGTGTCCTCAGGCCAGCTGCTCACCCTCTCCAGGTCTTGGTTTCTCCATCGAAGAAAGGGTGTGGGGATGCCCCTGACTTGTTGGGCTCGGCTGATAGGGAGGAAGCAAGGAGACAATGGGAGCCCAGGCTGGCTGGCAGGGACTTCGAGTTCCCTTCCTCCTCCTCCTTCCCCGGGCCTGGAAGGGCTGCAGGCCTCCCACGAGTCTGACCTTGGCGAAGCAGCCTCCCTTCAGTGCCCATCCCAACCCCCAGCCCCCGTCCCAGGCTGGTGAGACTCCGGCCCAACCTGGCAGGAACAGCCGTCTAGACTTCCCAGCGGTGTGGAGAGGCAGCTGGGCAGAGGTCAGTGGGGGTCCAGTCTTTTGTCCCAGGGAGGAGGGGGCTGAAGTCCACCAGGCCAGCTCCAACCTGACCACACAGGAGGAAGCCCTTCTTCCCTTCTATCCCTCCCCTGCCTCCAGCCCAGGAGTCTGAAACCAGAGGAAAAACCACAGACCACCCGCTGTCCCCAGACAAGTGCCC